CCCCACCCCGGCCGCCATCCACTCCGCCGCGCCCGCCAAGGCGAAGACGGACGCCCCCATCAGTAGTGCCAACATGAACGACACGGACTCCAATTCAGACACGGGGCTCAGTTCCCTGCACAGCGGCAGCGAGGAAGGCGTGTATATTCTCGACACGTTGGTGTAAGCCTGACGTTCCTGGGGACACACGCATCTGTGTAGTGTGTAAATTGCTTGTACAGTTCATTATTCGTTAGCTGTGTATATTTTATTGTTCTTCTTTATCTTTCACCTAATAATAGAGGAATTTATGATCTCTTAATTCAAAATGTTGTAACCGACAAATACACCCAAATTACCACTTGTCTAACCGAATTAGAGATAAATGTTGAATTATATATTTTGTGAAGTTCTTAACTATACGAAGAACATGTACCATGAGAATAGTGTGTGAGTCTAGTGAGGTCTACCTCATCACTAATTGTTAGAGAAGAGATATTTCTATAACTTATTTGCACATATCCACTTCATTCTTCATATAAATGTCATTATTAAATTAATTAATATTACCAAAAATATGTTCAATTTGTATCAAGCAAAATCTACTTTTGCTGCATACTAGTCATATTCTGAACAAAAATCTATATTAATTATTATTAAAGTAAAGGTTAATTCATAAAATATGTGTTTTATTCATGAAACCCATGTACCTGAGGACAAAATGTAAATAGAAATATTTGGTTAACATTTCTCAGTATTGCAAATCTAAGAATTTCTTTGTAGAGAGCTTAGCTGCAGAAAAAAGTTGTGTTCAGCGTCATGATTTTCTCTTATACATGTGTGAATTCATGAGTTTCTGGTAAAGACAGTGTCAAAAGCTGTATAAATCAGTCAGAAACAGTTCAATATTTTCATCCATAGATTCAGAAAAGAGGTGAAAACAATTTTAAATTTAATTAATAGTACTTAAATATTACCAAATGAGTAGTCTAAATACCATGATGTAAACTTACTATTCTATTCTGCAATATCCAAACATACTGGTTTGGAATTAAATATTAAATACCAAATTAAAGTGCATAAATCTAAACAATTTTGTATAAGATAATAGATACATTTAAAATAAAGATGGGTAATATATTAAAAATTTGTTTTATTACATTTCATAACTTTTCTTAATAATTTATTTACTTACAATAATATTCACAAAACAACTTATGTACAAATACCTTTAAATACACCTACAAAATAGGTACCTACTAAAGGAAATCTATTTTGGTCAAACACATTTCTCAGCATCGAAAGTCAATTTATAAATGGAATGCAGTCATCTATATGAGAAAAATTTTCGTACTTTAGGAGTCATAAATCGAATGAATGAACTTGGAAACATTTTTCTTTTCTCACTTTCATATTTATAGTAGTTTATTGGCTGAGCAATAACTTCCATTAGAGCTGCAAGCAATTTTTTATCCTGAAAAATGATCAAAATTTTAGTACCTGTATTATTACTCCAAAATCATATATCTCCAAATCACATTAAAAATACCTACACGAAGAATTTCCAGATGATTTTGTGATGCATAAAGTCTACTGTCTTGCACAATATCTTCAATAAGAGTTTGATATTCTTCTGCAGAAAATGAAGAAAACACACAAATGTTAAATTAATTTATGTACAGTTACCTCTTTAGGTATTGATTTATTCCACTATGCTTTTATTTTTTGAGTAAACGTTACATTATCACTTGCTTATTCTTTCAGTTTTAGGAATTGGGTCAGTTAAAAAGCAGATATGGAACCAAATGTACAGATCTCATTCCATTACAAATAGAATGTAGAAAGTACTCAAAGAAATATTAGACCAATAGAAAATAAAATAAATAATGTATACTAATAAAAGGGAATTCAACAACATGAAATCAACATCAATTCCACAAAAAGGAGTGTATGAGTGGATGAAATATTTACAAGCTCTTCTTCAGAATTTGCCACATGATGCAGGGTGAGGCCGAGAAGGTCAGGACAGGCAGTGCGAGAGAAGGAGAGAGAGAAGGAGAGAGAGAGAAGGAGAGAGAGAGAAGGAGAGAGAGAGGGAGAGAGAGAGGGAGAGAGAGAGAAGGAGAGAGAGAAGGAGAGAGAGAGAGACAGAGACAGACAGGTAGGCAGAGACAGACAGGTAGGCAGAGACAGACAGGTAGGCAGAGATAGATAAACAGAGACAGACAAAGAGAGAGTGACAGAGACAGAGATACAGGGAGACAGAGAGAGAGACACAGACAGGAGCAGAGAGAGAGAGAAAGAAAGATAGTCAGGGACAGAGGGGGAGAGAGAGAGATGGTAAGAGAAAGAGGGTTGGAAGGAGAAAGAAGGAGGGGGAGGGAGATGAAGAGCAGGACTACGTCTGCTGGTTTCTGCTAGTACTTAATAATGCTTAATAATCATACACGAAAATGAGGAGTGATAATACATTTGAAACTTGATTTATCCCAACTCACCATTGTATGTTACGAAGGAAATATGAAATCCTCTTGAGTTATTGGTAGAATCTGATCGAAAATTAATCCACAATGTTTTACTTTGAGCAACAAATGCAACTGGTTTGGTAATAGATCTACATGCTTCAAAAGTAACTGGTGAATATGGAGATTCTGAAAATATCTTCATGTTATAAAGCATTCCAATAGTTAGGGAAAAGGAAGGAAATATTTCTTTTGTTTGATAATGCTTACTTGATTTCCTCATCATTAATGAATCTTGACATTTTTCTCCAGCTAAATGAAGTTCAGAAACAATTATTAAGAGGCGCCTTCTTTTGGGAGGCTTCAGAATCCAAGAACAATCTGCATTACTTGGATAATCTCCAGGAAAGTTGGGTGATTCAATGAAGCCACTCAACTCACTCATATAACTCTCGCATTTTGTTCCTGTGTTAAATAAATATGAAATCAATATTGAATATACATTAGGCATGTACCTTATTAATATAATGTGAAGATTAAGACTACAGAATTGAATATTACTAATTTCATCATTCATCAATGCTTAAGGAACAGATACAATACTGGCTTTCCAGACACAACATTTTTAATTTCATGGTAATTCTTAATAATTAAATGCAGTTTGAAGAGTTACATTATGATATTAATAAAACAATGTGTTTATTGTAATAAAAAGATATTAGTTCTTTCTTGGCTTTAAAGGTTCAAGAATAATTACGTTCTTAAGAACATTTATCGAAGAATTAAAATACTAAGTATATTTAGTGTAATCAAATTATTTCAAATTCTTTCTCAATATGATTAGTATTAATTTTAATCACTGATTCAAAAATTACAATTATTTTAGAGCAAGACTAATTATTGTCTTTTTGACATTCACATTTTTCTTCATTAATTATACTTTTCTTGAAAACTATACTGCCACTTCCTAATGTTTACAACTCCTCTTTTGTAGCATTATGACTTCAAACTAGGGGTGAATGATTTAACTGTGATGAGTACAACAATCAATTATTTTCTGGGAATAAAAAAAAATTATGTTACTGTTGTTAAACTTATTTTTTCCAAACTTTTGTTTCATGCCATTAAAATGCACATGAAATTTCACGTCAGATTCAATTATATAAATATATTACTTGAATGTAAATGTCATGCTTTTACCATTGCCACATTTTCTATTCAGTTACATGCAATTTAGTGTTTTTGTTTACATACGTTCACAATGTAGTTAGAATAAAATAAAAAAATTGTACAGTCAACTCTAAGTACTAGCCTTTTCAATATAAGATTAATTGCTAGGATTTCTAACCTTTCAAATTGCTATATTCAAAGTTTGCCTGAATTGACTGTGCAAACTTTGGAGTAAAATGATGAAAATTACAAATGGTCATCATAAATCAATCAATTGTTTTGTAGAAACATAATGCAAGACAATTACACACTTAGATTTTATAGTAATTTACATAAGTAAATGGCTGAAAATAATATTTTATCCTATTGTACCTGACTTTCCTAATCAATAGAATTTCTTGTTAAATATATTTCTTTAGAATCTATGGTATAGTTATTACAATATTAACATTTTATATTTATTTATAAAATGTAAATCAGTTATTGGTTAAATGTTTACTTCAGAATCACTAAACAATTGATACTAATAGGATGATTTGATTATCAATTAAATTTAAAAAATAGTTTATAACACATCCTTATTACCCATTTTGTTGAGTTTATTTTTCTTTAATAGATATTTAGCTACAGTACTTTTGATTTCTAATTTTATAATTAAAATAATTTCTATGAAATGTCAGACAGAAAACAAAGTGATCCTGTGGTCATTAATTTATCACAATTCTTCTCAACTCACGTTTGCAGTCATCTAACTTCAATGAACCAATACCATCAGTAAATGAATTTTCAGGACATCTTTTACATGATTTTTGCTTTCCAGCATTCTGATATGTGTCTTTGGGGCACAAATGACATACTGATGAAGAAACATTCCAAAATGTACCTGGTGGACATGAATCTGAAAAACAAAATAATTTCTATAACTTACAGAGTTGATTTAATGCAAAGCGTTTTTTATTATAGAGTTGTTTTTTTATAATATAGGAATTTGTACCAATACTGAGGAGCTTCTGACTCATAATATTCTGTACTTCAACATTAAGTTGTGTAGGTTTTTGCAATTTCTTTCCGTTTTCATCCTTCCATTGTTGTGACTGAGAGCATAAATCTTGTACTCTTATTCTCTCTCCTTTTCCTCCACAATTTTTTAAATGAAAGTGCCGAAATGCCAAACTCTTTGGTATAATGTTTATAATTCTATTTTCAATCCTGAAAATCATATTATGTAATTTTACTTTTTAACAAATAAATAAAAATGCAACGAGTGCATGATGAGTAAATAAAAGTGCCTATTTCTTGAATAAAATTTAGAATCTTCTTGAATAAAATCTTTCAGAAATTGGATGCTACAAACATGTTAGAGCATTAGTGCTCTCATAAATTTATAAGAGTACTATAGTGGACAGAATTTATTTGTGTCTTTTCTCCACAGACTCTACTTCATAGGCACTATTGCTGTGAACATAGTGAATGTTATGCTGAGAGCTACTTAAGTATCTTAAGTATCTTAAAATTCTGCAGTAAAACTTTATACATTTTTTCTCATTTCTCATTAAAATTTGACTAAAATATTCATTTAAAATATGTACTCACATAACTGATAACTCTTTATTTGACCGCTCCTTGAGTTCAGAAGAAGTTCTACAAATTGTCTCTTTTGCATTGGTGGAATGGCAATCTTCATTGCAAGCAATTGTTTTATTCAGACTTTTGCATGTAATTTCCATGTGCACTTGAAAAACATGTCCTTCAACGTGTCCAAAAGTGTTTGATACTTTTCTAGGAGGCATAATTTGCATTTTATTAAAGTGCAAGTGACAGTCTGATATTTGCTCTTGTAGTTTCTTAGCTAAACTTTGCCCATATGTCTTCTTTTGTGGTTCTGGTATTCCCGATACCAGAAACCTGAGATTTGCTGAATAAGCAGCTGAAAAATAAAAGCCAATAAAAGTAAAAGCCAGTAATAAATTAACAGAATCTGTGATCTATCTTTTTCACCAAACTAGGAAAAAAGAAAACAAATATTCAATAAAAGAGAAAAATATAATTCTATGTAAGAATACTTTACCAACACATTCATTTTCCAGCTTCACACGTTTATGGTCAACAGGACGAGAGGAACAATAATAAGATCCTTGAGTATTGACACAGATGTGGGGGCAGCCTCCATTGGAATCTGCACATTCATCAATATCTATAAAGAAATAAAATTAAACTAAACCTGTAACCTCCCATGGAAGTGGATGCTTTTCCTTTAGTGATATTCACTCATGTGTAATTGAGAATTAACAATATATATTTTGAGTCACAAAACTTACGTGATTATTTTGAAAAAATGTAGAACAAAGATTAAAAATAAATAACATGAGAAGTAGTGGCTGGAAAATTATTTCATTTGTTACAAAATTATAAAACAATGCAAGAACTATGTATAGCAATTAAATAAACATTCTAATTAGGTCAATAGAATGAAGAGTTTTGATTTCTCTCTTTCTTTCTGGGAAAGGCAAAAGAATATATATTCTCTTAAAAATACTTTAAAATATTTTCACGGATATTGTTGGTTGTTGTTTTTTCACCCCTTTTTTCACTTTATTCGTGCAATTTTCTTTTCATTTTAGCATTTAATAACAAAATTCAAGACACTAATAATATATTCATTAACTCACCTCCACAATGAGTTTTGCCAAAGAGTTCGTATCCTGGAGTGCATTCACAACTATAAGAACCAGGAGTATTGATGCATGTATGCTCGCATGTGTCATTAACCTCACACTCATCTATATCAATGCACGATCTTTCATCCACAGGATTCAACTTAAAACCAGGGGGGCACAAACATTCATAACTGCCAATCATATTGACACATTTATGTTGACACCCATCTTCCCCAGCTGCACATTCATTGATATCTAAAAATACATATTTTATTACATTTATTAAGTTATTATACTATCAACACTATTGATTCAAATAATGTGGAAATAATACAAAAAACATACCGTCACATGTTTTCCCATCTTTATTTAGCATGTAACCACTTGGACAACTGCACATTACTCCTATGTTTGTGTTTGTGCATCGTTTATGGCATCCTCCATTATTCACATAACATGATGCTTCAAAAAATAAGGCAAGGATTGAAAATATAGCTACTAGTCATCTAATTACACTGGAATTTCTTTTTCAAATATTGTATTTGTATTCCTTCATTCCTTTTGTTCAGACTTTAGATGAGAATATAAATTTGTAGAGAAACGGGGAAAAAAGTAATTTGATATAAGTAGTCATAAAACTGTTTTTATGAAGATATACTGATAAATAGTGATAAAATTTTCAACTCTAAACAAAATTTTTTTTAAATGTATGTTAAAAATTGAAAGAAAAAGAAATAAGGAGCAATGGGAAAAGTAAAGTGAATGAATCGTAAATAGGAATAAATTCGAATAAAAGTGTTTGGACTGACCTGCACAAGAATGATTATCTAATCCTAACAGATATTTATGCTGACATGAGCAAACAGGGCCTGTATTTGTATCATGACACTGATGATGACAACCTCCGTTTCCAATGTAACAAGGGCGTTGACACGATATTCCGCTTGTAACATTTACTATATACCCTGACAAGCATGTACACGACTTCAGTTGATTGTTATAGCCTATTTCACAGTTTGGCTGACACCCAAAACCATAACAAAGCACATTTCCTGGAACATTAAGTACATAAATATTATGAAATTCCCATAAAACACAAAACATTTACTAAAAACATCTGCATTTAAATCATGTAAATAATTACCTCCTCTACAATGTTTTTGATTTGTGGTGAAAGTTACACCATTCCTTACACACTGACATTCATAACTTCCTATAGTGTTAATGCATTTCTGTTCACATCCTCCATTATTTATTGTACATTCATCAATATCAATGCAGTTGTGAGGATCATTGGGATCTGTAGTAAAACCTGAATGGCATGAACATCTATAGGATCCCATTGTGTTATGGCATTTATGAACACAACCTGCATTTCTCGGTAAACATTCATTAATATCTGAAAAAATTAATCTGAATTATATCTTCTGTTATTATAAAACATTGTCATTTATTTAATTTTCAAATTTTAGCTATAGGCTTACTACATCATATGAAGGTAATAATAATTTAAAATGTTAATAAGAAGAATCTTCAGACCTTCCATCCTTCAGTACATGATGATGATGATGATGATGATGGTTGTGGTGAGGTGGTGATGGTGATTTATTATATTAATAAACTTATAAAAGTAAGAAATGTGTTACTTTCTTGCCTTACTCAATATGTCGTAAATAGAGTATTGTAATGCTGTGGCCAAAATTGGAGAGTTTTTGACAGAAAACTTTCATTGTAGAGCCCCAGAATCAAAAAAGTGGACAAATCTTGTACCTATGTGTAGCAAATTACTTCCTCAAACACGTTGCTAAGTAAAATCCACATATTATGGGTTCTCAGTACTCCAAAATATATTAAATGCAAAATGTCTGTCTATCCATCTGTAGTCAATGCTAGTGCCTAAACAAAACTTCCTCCAAAATTGATATTCCCCAATTGATCTAAATAAGCGAGGCCCTGAGAGTTTGAAAAGGATATATTGATTGGGTGGAAGGGGGTGGTATACTTTGCATAAAGTCTCAAAATTTTCTTAACAATAATTCCAACATTTTTTATTAAACTTTGTCCATGAATAGCATAAACTGTGCTTAAAAAATGGCATAGGTCTCGTTTCAATTAAGTTATCTAAATTTTATAAAATTGAAAAAGTTCAAAATTTTTTTTGGCTGCTTCCTACTACTATAATAAATTGAAGATAGAGATGCTTTCCTAAATGAAATCTTTTGTTTATTGACAAATCTTAAAATAATATCATGTGCAACCTTTCAAAAATTTGAGTATATTTCATACTCGTATGATACAGGGAACGTTTAATCACATATTTTCTCAGAAAAGGCCACAACTATTTATTTTATTTTTTCTCATTAGTAGCAGAGGAAGTAAAAAAATTAGTACATGCACATATTCAGCAAACCTTGCATTTTCAAAAATTGCAAAAGTACAATATTAATGATATAATTTTCTTCCTTAATGAAATACATTCTAAAAAATTAATTTAAAAAAAAATTTCATGTAAAATTTTTTGAAAAAGCTAGTAATTTTTGTGTAATTTTTGCTTGAAATTAAAGCAATTATTTTCAATGTTCTCAAAAATGGTGCTTCTTAAAATTTTTACCCTGATAGATCAAATTATGCTTAAAAAATTATGCAGGTACCATTTCGAATAAACTCATTGTGTTTTCAAAAAATGCAAACAAAAAAACTCAACATTGCAAATATACAATATTGTTGTGTGAGATTTTTTCTCCAATGATATACTATGTTCTTTACAACAAGACCTTCAAATAATGTAAATGAAAATCTCTGAATCTTTGAAAATTGTAAATGCATATGATCTACTTTTTTGAAGCATCAAGAAGGTTGATTCTTGCACCTGGTGTTGTAGTAGTAACATGAACAGAGTAATAACTCCATGATTCTGAGTTCAAATGTCAGAGGGGGAAAAAAATGTTTGCTAGTTGGAAACACTTTTTCAGATACATGTTGTATAATTGTATTGCATAGCCATTCAAATAAGCCAAGAAAATTTGTACTGTTGTAGCAACAATAATTTTAACTTAAAAATAATGCAATTATATATTTAATTAAGAATTAAACCAAATATCATAAATATTTTAGGATTACCAATATTAATTGTATACCTTGGCAAACTGTACCATTGCCTTGCCATCCTCTTTTGCAAGAGCAATGGTAACCCCTGCGATTGGGTTTGCAAATAGCATGAACATCACACCCTACCTCCTCAGCATTGCATTCTTCTGGAATTGTTTCAATGCATTAATTATTTTAAAAAACAAAAAATATACAATTAAAAAAATACAATAATAACATTCAATAATATTGAAACTAACGTTCATGTTCCATTAACTTTATACTTAGATGGCACAGTCCAGAGCCTGTTCTCCAATTTCCAGAAACAATGCGATTCATTCCAACATATAGAGTAATATTATCTTTTATTATTCCATTATCATAAAAAAGACCTGAAACATCAAAAATGTCTGATTATGTGTGTATGAAATAATAATTTTGCAAATAATAACTAGTACATTTTATAAAATAAAAAATCATTAACCATTGTATGTGTGAAGTAGAAGAGATAAATTTCTGAAGTTACAAATTACTTCACTAAGATTTTTTGGATAATTTTTAATACTTCTAAATAAATTTTAAATTGTGTGATGTTTGTGAAAGTTAACATTCAAATATATTATTTATAATAAATAATGCAAATATAAGAGACTTGGAATTAGCTTGCTGACCTAATGTTCTGAACATTTTTCTGTCAAGAAAATGAAATAGTCTGGCAATAAAATAAAATTCTGTCAATGAAATAGATGTAGAAACTTAAAAAAGAGGGAAAGAGGGAAAGAAAAAATGGGTGAAGACTTAGAAATTAGAAAGTTTGAGCATTAAGCCTTGATATTATTAATTCTTGTTCATTTTCATTCAACTTATCAAATTCTTTTATGTCATTTACAATAATAAGTAATTACCAGGAGGTGCTGAGAAATCATGAGCCAAACGATCATCATGCCAACGAAATGTGTTTCCTTTCACAGAGAAGGAAAGTTCCACAGCGTTACTCCTCTGGATTGTCTCATCAACAACACGGAGAAACATCCACTGAGAGTGAGTGCTGCCTGGTTCGTTCCCCTCATTCGATGATCCTGTAGTAGGCATGGGCCAAGCTGTGTACACTCTCATTTGTTCATTCAAAACTTGCATTTCAATGGTACTATTATTACCCTCTGTAGCATAATAACCTGCAATAAAACAACAATAATTGTTAATATACTGAAAATTATTTTCAAGATATCTAAAGGAAGAAAATTCATTCTAAAATTTAAAAGTTATCTACAAACATTATCTAAAGAAAAGGCTGTTCAGAAGAAACATATCTAAATAGTATCATACTCAGCTGTTCCAAAGAATTCCACTACTGTTTACAATCGCATTACCAATGAGTGGGGGGAGTCAACGAAGGGGCGCCCAGCGTCGGTTTTTTCTTATCTTTTTTAGGCAAAGTATTACAGTTTCATTATATATCATTTTTATAGTTTTAAATAATTTAGAAACTTTCTTAATCTTTAGTGATTGTTTTGCCTTTCAATGCTTAACGGATGTTTAGAAGAAAAAAATCAAAACTGTCGCTATACGTAATCGTTTCAAGGAAACTCCTGCATTCTCTTACATCGAGGCCTGCAATCGCTTCTTGGAAACTCCTGCGTTTTCTTATATTCAGACCTGCCAGTAAACGCGTTGCAATCTTATTTTAGTACATGTTGATGTAGATAACAATTGTGTAATTAGAGCTACTAGTTAATGTTGAATTAGTTCTTCAAAATACGGATCCCGCTTCCTCTCTGTGTGACTGTGTCCCCGTATGTGTCGTCGCGGAAAAGGTAAAAATTGTTCAAGTGCCGCTGTCATATGTTGACATTTAATGTATTATATATCGTTTGGATTGTATTACCGTAAAGAACTTGTAATGTAAAACCTGCAAGTTGTAAAATTTGCAATTTATTGTGGAGGTCCGTCGTTGATTTCTCGTTGGCGTTCTCTTGGTATTGGAAGGGCACTGAAATACGACTGATCATGTTATTACTTCAAAATTAAAAAATGTCTTTCCTCTCATTTTTTATGACCATGCGATGTAACAAGCACTAATAAATTATATTCCAAAATATTTCATAAAATTATTTAATAATGATAATTATTCCAACCTATTTAGAACCATATTAAATTAACTGTTGGAAGTAAAAAATAATCCAGCCATATGCAATCATAGAGGAAAGACGACAGGTTTATAGAATTCATAAGACGCAATCGATTCAAAAGTCCGGAAAAGTGCTAGATGACAACAAAAGTGCAAAAGTCCGCAACAGTAGGGAAGTTTGCCCCCGTAAGGGCAAGAAATAGATTAAAGACAATAAATATTGAACTTTGTACATTATGCTATAAAGAAACCAGCAGGTACTGCAGTCCACATCTGAAGTTACTTCATTCCATCTTGCATAACTTAGAATCGATATTTCTTAGACCGTAAAAAGAGGCATTTTGGTCCTCCTAATACATTTTTGTAGGCTTAGCCCTTCTGAGTACCCCACTTCGTAGCAAGAGTTATCAGAAAATACCAGAATCTCAGAATATATGTAAAATCAAAATGTACTATACGCGTGGCATAGTGGGGAGCTAAAAAGAAGAATATTCGTCAGTGGAGACACGACAAAAGTATCTCTAAAGAGAGTAACGCTCCACGCGTTCTTACCGACCTCTACCGTCCCCGTCCAATTTTTACCGCAAGCTGCACCGCAATACCTAGGGGCATTGCGGATTGCATTGAGCCAAATTCTGTTAAAAAAGTACTGATAGACTTTCCAGAAGAAAGCATAGTGTTCAACTATTTCAAGTTAACTCTTATCAGTAGATATAGAAAATTTAATAAAAATCAATTATGAATTGAAAAGTTATTAAAGGACGCAGAGTCGTTATTTTTAATAAAATAAGGATTAACTACGTGTGGTAAAACAAGGGAAGGGATTCCAAAGCAAATGTACCCCGGTAATATTCACAGGCATTTTTCACATCAAAACGAACCGTCGCCTTCATAAGGGAAAAGGGAGACACAATTATTTAATGAGTTTTCAAAAATTTTTCATTTTTTAAAAATGTGCATCCTTTTTCTTATACAATTTAATCAGCATGGTGAGACGCGTTCTCCATGTGAAGACGCAGTCAATTGTACGCGGTCTATTTGGGTTAACCTCCGTCTCTACAGCATATTTGATGTGACAAATGGGCGTGAGCGCTGATAACATATATAAGTGTGGAAAGTATTAGTAACGCTATTTCTTGATATTTAATCCGAATTTATGAGAAATATTGGAAGTCCCAGACGTGTGGCAGTACGAAGACAATGCTACAGTGATTGTTCCGGTCATTGAGTTCTCACGGTTGTATGATAATTATAATTGCTCTCAAAAATAAAAATGTACTCTTAAAAAACTTAATCCGGAAGCTGGGCCAAACAATATTTATTTTAAAATGGTTTGATAAGTATTTCATTAATATAATTTCAAATGTTAAATTTATTTATTTGTTTGTAAATGTTCTACAAGTAAGAGTGTATTTTGATTTTTTCATTTTCTATTTCTTTTTTCATATTTTTTTATATCATCTTTTTTAAATTATTTTTATTTAAAGTCACATAAACTACAAAGATTATGAACATACATTAAATAAATGCATTCACAAATCTTTAAAAATATCAATATTTTTATAAACTGTAACACTTGTTCTTGATAAATAGGTGATGATAAAATGTCATTGAAGTTTTTTATTTCCCAGGTACTCTTGTCTCTTCTGATTGTGGATGGGGCGTTCCAAAAGGATTTTACATATTCTTATAGTTTTCTTTGCATATTTATTTACATATTTTGCGGTTTAATGCCACACATCTTTTCGGTCTCTACTTATTAATAGTGAGTGGCAGGCAGTGGCGGCTCATGTATGTTTCTTACGAGGAGGAAAAAAGTCGAAAGCGTAAACAACTTCAACAACAAATGAATTGTGCAACGAATAAAGTTGCGTGCGGCGACTTGCGATGGGATAAGAGAAAATTATCGGTTCAGAATGCCTCTTCCCGGGGCTTCCAACAGCTCACGTCCCAAGATTACATTACGCACAAGATTACACTCTGCTGTTGACGCCTCGCACCGCAACGCCCCGAGACTACTAGATCTACTCGTAGACGAAAAGATACATTTCGAGATTGTTGTACAGTCAAGGGAGGAATCCCTCCCTTCGGTCAGTAAGGCTCTACCGAAAAAGGATTCTTCTGGCCGCAGGAACGCTGAGAGATATGAACGGTTAAAATAGGGCAGGATGAAAATCTGAAAGTTTCTCCTCAGATCGATTTCAATAGTTTTTGCGACGCTTAAATGTCCGTTGGGTCGCAACTTGATCAAAGGAAAAAATGTATATTTTTTTCCTCAAACAAATCAAATATACTTTCGGTAATTACATTTGGAAGAACATCCAAGATAAGGACCTTTCCTCCCATAAGAAAACGTCGCCAGTTGAAGACATGTAATTTTAAAATAACGCTTTCATACAATTTCACCAAAATTCACATTTATGAACTAGTTTGTGTATTTAAAAATGATTGTAAGTGTGTTTCGAAGACAAATTTTCAATAATGCAAATATATTTAGAAGAATATTTTGTTTATAAAATCATTTAAAAAGACTTACCATGTGGATGAGAGCAAGATTATCATTACATTGAATACATACCTGATTTCAGAGGTAGTTTGTAACAATATCTCTATGAATTATCTTCTTAGTTTTACAGACATGTTTACAAGAAAATTATAATTTTATAATTAATTAATTTGTATTTTAAAAGGAAAGTATTAAATGTTACTCACCATATCCTTCAGCACTGAGAGAATCTGATAAATGAAACGTCCAAAGACGAGGTACATTGTACTTTAGGTGAAAGTGTACAACTTGTACTTGTCCTCCAATATTTATTTTAATGACTGCTTGTTTTCCACATTTCCCGTTGTCATCAGCAGTTGGAGTGGAAATAAAATGTACCCGTTCACTATAACCATTAACAACTCCATCGTCCAAGTTTATGTCAACATAACTTTGTACACTGGCATAAACCGTACAAACTGTAACAAAAAACATGAAAATTGTAAAAATTACGTATAACTACGACATTGGCATAATTAAGGGAAACAACTCAGTAGTCCTTATTTATTCATAAATAATTGAAAACATCACCAAGATTGCCTAAAGTGACATCTGATCTAACTACTTATTTAAAATAATTAAATACGTGAATACAAAGATACAGTTTTTAAACTACAATACTATCAAGTAAAATGCGTCTGAATAAAATGGAAAACCGTTAGGCAATCAATGAATACATGACAAATGAGAGAGACAAAAAATGACATTGTCAATTGCAAATATATGTCGAAGATATGATATTTACATTGGAAGAAGCCGCTAAATAACCCGCTAAATTAACTAACTAAAGCCTACACAAATGTACCAGATTACTAAGCATGAAATTACTTCCAATTCAAAAAAATCATTAAAGAAACATTGGAAACGGTTAAACTCTTACGAGTGTGTATCGTGCGCATCACAATTACTTATTTCCTTATTAAGGATGATTTTTTATTTGAAATAGAAATTCACACCCCAAAGCGGACAGAGCGAAAATCATTTTAGCCGAGATAGAAGAAAAAAGTTAATGATTTATGAAATATTATAATCAAAAGGAAGTAATTGATCAGAAGGTAAGTTAAAATAAGTATTTCTGAGTAAGTAACTTGAGTATTCACTGCTTAAGTTGACTTCTAGAAATGGTTAATTTATTATTTAATGTGAAAACATAAAATCTTAACGATGAATCGTCAAAGAGAAGAAGTATAAAAGAAAACATAATTGTATATAATATGATAAATAAATGTGCATTTAATTTTCATATTTCAAAATAAACTAATTTGATTTCGACAAGAAGTTGTACCTATAAGAATTTGATTTTTTTCTTTCTTAAGGCATCGTTTTTCTAAAGTTGGTTTTTGAATCTTGAAAAACCTAAACCGCTAAACATATATATGGCATGAAAGTTCGATTTTACGGACTATAAACTTCTTAAGAGACTAAAAAAATTAAATTTTGCTCGTCTGCTTACAAAACTCAATTTTTGCAATCTTAATGACTGAAAAGAATCCCTCGTTAACAGTTTATAATTATAACCTCATTCAAAATAAGAACAATTCACTTCATGCTTAGACGGTTTCGACCTTTCTGTTATTGAATGAACTACTTTCTGAAAAACGTGTCACCACGAGATTTGCTCAACAGAAAATGAACTAGGCCAGAAAGAGATTAACAACGAAAACACTGAAACAGACGCTAGGAAAGAGATTTAGCCACCGGCAGCGTTGCATGACCAAATGAAAAATTGAGAGATAAAGTCGGAGAGTAGGCAGTAAACCTCGTGAAGTTGAATTTCACACGTACACACCTCCCCTTGTAATTCCGGCACAACATAGTCGGAACTAGTGCATCGGTGAGTATCATGTCTTAAACAATGTTTTGTTAACGCTTAATACAGTGAGGGGGACACAGTGTGAGGGGAACACAGAATGGGAATATGTTTGCAAATTTTGAAAGTGCAGCACAATGTTCTTTCAGAGGTGTTATTGTATGAATTAAAGATAATATATATATATATATATATATATATATATATATATATATATATATATATATATATTACATACGTGTTTAGTCATTAGTTTTGTAATAGAAAATGAACTATTTTTTATGGCCAACTTATACTTTCTCGTGGTTCGTAAAAAGAGCTTCGTAAAAAGTGAATTTATGTAATCGTGCGCCGAAAGCAGCGAATTTTGGTAGAAAAACTTATTTTAAAATATTTAAAGTAAAAGAACTTGTATTAAAATTGCGTTTATGGCCATTTTTCTTCCACAAACCAAGCATCGAAAACATAAAAACGTCGAGCGTAAAATATCGGAAACATAAACACATCGAGGACAAAATATCGATGGTAAAAAAAAATCGGATTCAATGTATATATGATTTAAACGTCGATGTTCACACAAACATCTATGTTTTGAAAACATCGACACCGATATCGCATCACTACTTCTCTTGAAAATCTAGAGGCCGAAATACTAACAGGCGTTTCTCAGAATGACAAGTTGCGATGGGGGAGAACACTGACGCTCTGAAACGGCTGGGGAGAAAGTGTCTTTGCCGCTAGCAACGTCGCCCTGGGGCAAGTCTCCTCCGACCTGAGACGGCTGGAAGATCGACTGCCCTGCGTACGACTCGGCAGACGGTCGTCGCAATCTTACAAATCCCGTCGGCGAATAACAGAGAAGCAGCCGACTTTATTACTTCTCCCGAGTCCGGACACCGTTGTTTACTTAATACTTCCCCGCGGGAGGTTTCTCGCGTCACCTTCACCGCAAATTAGTCACTGCCCGGAATCCTCACAAAAAGAACAAGAATGGTAATATTTTAGCGGAAAGGTTCGTTTCGTTTCAGCTCAAGGGGCAACTAGCTGATGTTTATTCGTTTTAAATTCAATGCGCCTTGAAGACATGTTTTGTTGTTATGTTGCAATTTATTTCCGTAGTCGAAAAATACTTTTCAGTTTTTAGCGTCATATGAACAATAAATATATAATTTATGAAGGCTAATTAATTGGTGTGTCGAAATATATACACTTATTGATTCTTGACTTTTAATAACTTTGTGTTGCAACAAAGGTTTTCCTATGAGGGCGCAATAATTGTAGGAAGCAGCTGAATTTGTTTTCACATTAACAATTTTGCATTTATGCTGAATTTACACATTTGTATTCTTTAATGTATAACTATAACGTATTTAATAGAGAAGTTGAATGCCTCTTCGTACTAGAGGAAATTAGTAAAAAATACATTTGAAAATGTGGGTCATCGGCTTCTCAAGAGAACTGAAGCCTTCCCACTCTTAGTTGCGACTTTAAATTTAAAAAAATAATACAAGTTTACGAATCTTCTTCCCCGTTTATCAATAAAAGTTCATTATTCAATAACCATTCCTTTCGGAAGTTTTCATTAACTTCTCTACTTTGTAAAACATGGATGGCATCTCACGTAACTTCGGAATATCGAAATTACCCCAAATTACTCCAGATTTTCAAAACTCGTATTGTTATTATAGTTACTTAATACTGCGTACCTAAGTCGTATACAAATGATCGTCGCTGATTGATCCCGTTATAATTGTATATTTAGGTGGCAGAATGATCATGTGAACCAACATGGATTTTTGATCCGTCAAGACATCCTACCCACCTAATTATGTACATATCAAAGAATATGAAAGCAGATCAAGGTTAGTTATTTACTTTTAACTTTCAGATACTTATGTAAAATTTTGACAGATTCTATAAATTATTACACACTCACCTTGCAAAAGTAAAGCAACCCATCTTATGATAGGTAAAACTCGAATCATCATTGTAAGGACAGTCGAATGTTTCCTGGGTAGTCAACAGAAGTCAGGAGAATATCATGCCGCTGAAGAAGCGGCAAATTCCTAAAACAAGAATCAATTAATTTCAAAAACAATGTTTCACAATAATCTGATAGCTTAACGTATTATAATATACAATTGAGCAGAAGTTAAGATCCGTATATCTTAATGTTTTCAACTGGCATATACGTACAATCCCTTCTTCGTAATATGCTCAGGTAAATTCACTTTTTGTACGATTTATACGAAAAAGCCAAAACAACGTAAATATGTAAGTGCTGTATAGGTAATTACCCCTCCCCAGGAGTACGTATAACAGGTTTAAGATTTAATAAAAAAAAACGATTTTTTAACAGCACTTTATGCTGCACTCCACTTTATCACTATATATACATTGAAAAACTTCTATGCCCTTAAAGTACGATTTCCCAAAAATAATGGAGATACGAATTACAAACATTTGTTTTTTAAAAATTTTCTTTATTTAAAAGGTCACCTTATGTGCTAGGACGTTACAGCAGGTCACATTAACTGCTGGGTCACAATGAACAGTAACAGAATACAAAGTATAAACAACATAATACAAATAAGTAATTACTTTTACAAATTACTAAACACTATCTAAAACCTTCATACATTGATTTCCTGACCACAGAGTAGAAATTTGTTGTGCAATACTGTGGAGTAGGTTTTCGTTAAGTATTGCTTAATTTGTAATCTACAAATGAGACCATTTTGGACCGTCTATTATATTTGGACCTTAAGCTCTTCTGGTATTCTCCGTGGCGCGAGTATTCAAAAACCAGCAGCGACTTGAAATGTATATAAATTAAATTTATCATTTGATACTCTGTGCAATTTATAATAATAATAATAATAATAATAACTATAATAATAATAATAATAATAATAATAATAATAATAATAATAATAATAATGCCTTTATTAATGACGAGGCTTAGGCCACAGGGCCTGTTCTTCCGCCTAACCACTGAATTTACATACATATAGAGTAGTAACATTTTAAGAGGGGAGGACAAGCTGTACATTTACGTGTGGGAGTACAAATCTAGGGACCATCCCGGCATACGCCTTAAGCAATTGAGCAAACCCAGAAAACCTCAATCAGGATGGCAGATAATTTATTCGCAAATACATATCCATAGGTATTTCCAGTGCTTGATTTATAAAATTTTAGGTCCAGAAACGCGCCCCAAATAAATTATTAATTTAATAGGAATACCTATATATATATATTTTTAATATAATTTAATATTTATTTCCGAGGCACAGGAACGCCGTTTCGTTGCGTTCCACCAGAAATCAAGCCTTGGTTTTTGTTAATAAACGCTTAGATATATTTAACATTTACCCACGTACACTACGTGATATAAATGTAATTCCCGGTTCAAGTATTCACCTTGCGAAGTTGGGTTTCGATATAAAGCTATGTTCACATTTACAACAATTATTTACGTATTATTTCTATTACGTATTAGTGTATTATTTCCTACATTTATTTGCATTATTGCCGACAAAATTATCATTTAATACATAAATGCAGTTTTTACATTCCCCATATAATACTCTTGAAATACCTCTTGAGAATGGGTTTGTAATGTTAACGTTATTTTAAGAAATATTTTTCTAGCAAATCTGAAATTGTTCCAAAATGGCCACACATGTTCTTCCTTGCTTATTAAAGATACGACCAAACTTTTTGTGAGTGTCCTTCAATTCTGCGTGACTCGCAAGAGAAAACACTCAACCCGAATTTTTCCCATTACTGATTCAAACGCAATCATCAGAAACCCCAGTAGCTTTCGGCGCAACCTCAGTGACCCTAATTTTCGCGGGGCGAATCGATGAGTAAGATGTAGCATGGGCGAAACAATGACTTGTTACCGTTCCGCCGCGTACTTAAAGCGAGCAAATGTTGACCCAACTGATGGCTAGGCGTAGCGCGGCCCTGCCGGTTCCTGTTCCACCTGCCACATCACCGCAGAGGGCCGCCGCGACGCGGTATCCAGGGGTCGACGCTAACCCAGGTGCCACGGTTTGGGCTATGGTACGAACGAAGGCTCGGTACTTCACCACCGATTGATTCACTGATAGAATTATTTCAGATATACATTATATATGAGTAACTTATTTCATTTTGTCAGATTTCGTTCGTCTATTGTCACAGGACCAGTTTCAGGGAATGGAAGAGTATTTTCTGGAATAACCCACCTAAGAGGACCAACTGTACATACTCTATTAAATTCCATATACAACGAACATTATAATTTATTGTTATTATTTACTCCCTTCACGTATTACTAATTGACTGCTATTTTAGGGCCAAGTAGACAGGCTTCGCTCGCGAATTCCACTTGGACAGTGAGGCTCTGGATCGCGATTTATATAAAGCAACTATTCAAAGGAACAGATGGCACTTAGAACGATTTTACACTACAATACAAATTTTTGACACGACCCTAATATCTGGATGGGATTCAGCCGCTGCCTGTAGAATTCTAGCGGTTGCCTTCTCTGATGGGTAGACCAAGGGAATACCACGGCAGTACCCTAAAACATAACCACGGTCGGCACGCGATGTTTCTTTCTTTAATTGATTGAAGATTCCGATCGCATCAAATGCTAAGGTCATTAGTCAAGTGGAGTGGATGTTTTTTCCTTGCGGTGGTCTTTCCACCGCTGAAAGGTGAGAATCGGGGTCGACCTACCTGTCGGCTAGCAAGTGTTTTCCTCAACCAGGTATTTCCCCCCTCCACCGCCCCAGCCTGGACAAGCTCTATGCTCCAGACCGTTCTCCAGGCATGAGTAGTAGTGGAGTGTATTAAAGTGTAAGTGTGTAAGGAAGGGGAAGGAAAGACCGCCCTCGGTCCGTCGCCCGTTTGTGAAGCTACTGCTCCGACATTCACTTGGCATTGATCGTAGGAACCATGGAAAACTACCGACCAGAGCAGACGGCCGCTTCAATTCTCCTTCAGTCAGCGACTGAATTAGATGTAGTAGCTAAATACTGACACCGTCGGAACTCGAACCTAGTACCTCCCGATCAGAGTTACTACAGTGACATCAGTTAATGCCCTGAGACACCTCTTCCGGTATGTTTCCTTCTTGTTCCTTGACCCATCCTCTCCCCTCACTCATGCACGCACTAGACACAGAAACTTACACGCACTACAATACCCGACATGTGAGTTCAGTGAATCTTGTCCGGGCTTCGAAAGGACCCCGTTGGTGAAGACACCTATATGAGGAAACACCGGGAATCAACATGTAGGAGCCGTATAATGCCGGAATTATACCATAAATATAAGCAGTGCACTACCACGTATGTCGGGAGAGCAGTCAGGATATTGTGTGACCTGCGGCGGTGCACGGCTCAGAGACATACAAAAATATTAGAAGAGGGAAAATTCCGCACGCTAGCAGGTATATCAGCGCTGGATCTCACGTTACAAAAAGAAGACCAAATAATTAATCTATCTATCCCGAGACGATGCCGTGGCAACAGCTGTTCCTAAAGCCATTTCTGACGGTTTTTTGGTTGCAAGTGAGAGAGTATTGAATCCGTCCGCCTCAAGTCATTATTCCTGTAAATACAGTCAGTTTTATGTTCCAGAAAGTTGCAGTGCTCGTCACCCGTTGGAACGTGAGATCTGGCGTCAACATACTTGTCTCCTTGCGGAGTTTTCCCTCTTCAAGTTACTCGTATATCTCTTAGTAGTGCACCGACTCAGCTGAGGCAAATAATATCCTGATTGGTCTTCTAGCATAAGTGGTAGTTCAGTGTCATATGTGCGGTATTTCTTCGGCATTCCTCTGATATTGATCAGAGAAAACAAGAAAAACTACCGATCAGAGTAACCGGCCGCTAGAATGCTTCTGCTGACAGTGATTGAATTGAATCCAGCAATGCAGCTAGAGACGACCACAATTGTAACAGAAACCCCAGAACCTCCCGGTCAACAAGCAGATAGACGGGCCAAATTGCCGTAAAGCAATTTTTATCGACCCACAAAAAGACATTCAAGGATACACAAAAAGGAGATTATAACTACACAATGTGTTAGAAGAAGTAATTTACTACATAGACGAGAAATAATTATCCCCATTTCGGTATCAGGCATTTACAATGCGACTTTTTTGCCAAAAATCGCTGCGTCATAACATATCGCCATGGACGCGGCGTCACCCGGATAGCCTAGTAAATACTGACTCCGGCCGCGGAAGCCCATGCTCTCAGTATAAACGTTGATTTTGCAATTTAGGAAAGATATCATTTTCAGGAATGGACACTTACCCAATGTATTTACGTTTGTTTTTAAAACATAATACCAAATGATGATTCGGGTATATACAATTCAATTAATTTTAACGTAATAACCTACGCCATTTTCTAGCATCCCAAGAAATTAAATATTAATGAGTGATTAATTAATTAATTAATTTCGAATTCATTTTTTTCGAATTTTAGGTCTGAGGATAATCGCTGCGCGATCGAATCGATCATCAGCCAAATAAAATTGATGATACCGGACATCTTTTCTTTATCATAATCAATGAGTGATATTAGATAATTGAAGCAATCAATACCCGGGTGGCATACCCGTTTGAAAAACAATTACTTCTCTGAACTCCACTATATTTTTGATTCAGAGTTTAGAGACTATGAGAAAGATTAGCTTATATTTTACACTAATGTTAAAGTCACAAAAAATGGTGGTTGCGTTTGTGGCATTAAGATCATTACCAATCCTTCGTGTATCACCTCTATACCCTAATCCTCCCTTTACTCCTTTTCTTGACTAGTATCTATACATGAGATCAGATCCTTGTGCAAGCTTCTGGGTGGGTGATTAAATGAGCTTCCTACACACAGAACGATGCTTCAAGCTCCGAGATGGAGCAAGAGAAACCCTGGGGAATTGATACACGACCGAAATGACTCAAAGGACTATCTCAGCGTGGTAATCGGAGAGCATGAGAGGTCGTCTTCAACGAAAATTACCCGACTGCTCTGGCGGTCAGTTATCCCTCACCCCCGCTTT